CCGTCTCTACATATGCGTCGAGTGTCGCCAACTGTCCGGCAATCGGTGTTTGTCTGGCACTCGAAGAACAGGCATTTGTCGAGCACCGGGTCGTACCGGAAGTTGACGGCACACTCGCATTGAAACAATACGCAACGGCGGTGATAATCACCATGTGTTTTGTTGATACAGTCCGAGTATTTATAACATTCCTTGTATGGTAGGCCAGGGGTGGTGGTCGACACTGTGGGTTCGGTGGATGGAACTGGGTCGTTTTTGTCAGTGTTTGAGGTAGATGTTTCTGCTTCACCCAGGGCAATTTTTGCGCTTACCATAATGCAAAAATATATTACACATGTTAATTGTTTTGTTTTAACCATGTTGGCTCGCTTAGTGTGTTCACTTTTAGTAACTATTAACTAAATAAAAAGTTAGTTATTTTATAATGTTAATAATTAACACTTATAAAATATCACAAGTTATAATAAGGTAATTTAGTTTTGCTATAGAGCTATAGTACAGAGCGAGGCAGCTATCACTATATACGCGCCGTGAAGTTATTTTTGCTGCCATACACCTAACAATGGGGCTCGCATTGAAGTTACAGTAAGTTCTCAGCACTTGAATGTGTTTTCGAGCCCCACTCTTAGGTGTATAGCAGCAAAATAACTTCACGGCGCGTATATAGTGATAGCTGCCTCGCTCTGTATGTATAGTAAATCTTATCACAAAAAGGTACACAATTTTATTGTTTGAGAGCAATAAACAATTAAATTCAATGTCTATTATGCAATGCATCCGGGGGTTTGTTTCATTTAAAACAATCTACATTAGTTTATCAAATAATTAATATTAGTAAATTTAAGTAAAATAATATTTAGTTAATAAAAAGTATTTAACAACATTTTAATAACATAAATATTAAAATAGATTTAATTTAGTAAATTGGTAAATTTATTTACTTCAAAAAAGTTTACACACTTGGTGGTATTTGACTTTTGATCTTGCGATTAGTTTCATTCATTAACAACATGGTTATTATCGCAATGGCATTGTATTTTACACTGGTTACTTTACTAAATATATTTATTATTATCTGAAAAGTATTATTTTACATTGTTTTACACTTTTTACACTTAATTTATAATGATAATTTATGTTGTACAGTACCTGAATTGATTTGAAATACTTTAAGTTAAAAATACTATTACACAGTTAAAGCATGAATCTGAATATAATGTTTAACGAGTTTTGTAATACGTTTAAATCAGCTTATAATCTATAGAGGTGATTTAACTTATACCATAGTTTACATTAAGGAAAATAATAATATTATAATTAATTATAAAAAATAATAATATTAAGTTTAATATGGCAATAGGCATACATCATAATGTACACAATGCATGGGTTTTATTAATTGTAAAAATTATCATTTTAATGGGGGAGTGGAATGGAATGGGAGGTAAAAGTGTTTGACATGATTTGATTAAAAAATTAATTTAGTTTTTATTTAACTTCTATACATTAAACAAAAATTGCATTTATTATACACTGAACTTAACTTTAATAAAGTTGAGTCCTTTACAATAGGTGTTTAGACAAGTTTTAATCATAGTTATTAAAGTATTATTACAGTTATTGTATATTAAAGTTATTATAGAATAAAATATTTACTGAAATATCATCGAGAATTGTTGTGATAGTTATAAGTTATAACTTATAACTATAAGAAAATAATATATACTGTATTACAAAATAACACATTAAACAAAATAAAACAATAATAATTGTAATAAAATTTAACATAATTTAAAAATTACAAACTTTAACATAGCCGATACTTACTAATTACCAAGTTCATTAAAATAAAACATAAATACAACCAAAACAAAATAATAAACATTTAAAAATATAACTATTACATGGTTAAACTACCCGCTCGAGGCATATAATGGCCTAGCTGTATTAAATCGGGCACATGTAATTGTCTAGGGGCAAATCTACCAGGCAGACCGCCTTGCATATCAATATTCTCCAATTTGCCCGAGGTCATTATCCTAAAATTGTACGTGGGATTCTGAATCATAACATCGGGCTCATCCAACGATATCTCCTCAAAACCCTCAGCTCGGGTATAGGGCGGGGCCGGACCGAAACCTGTGCTCCCGGTGTAGGCCGGGTTAATGATGGGCACCGGATTGTTAGTGATGGCAAACATTTTAGTCTTGTTAAACAATTTGACACGTTTGTGGCATATCATGCACGTGACTAACATTAGTAGCATGATTATTATAAACCCACCGGTGCTCATCACCCAAGTATAGTCGTAGTGATAGTTGTCTTTATCCACATATACGCATAGGTGCCCGTTGGCTGAGTCCTCGTAGTGTCGGTGCCCAAGGGTTGGGTCGCAAACACACTCTCCCCTACTGTTGCACATACGGCCCGAGTCGTAGCCCGGGGTCAGGCAGTCGGCAGTGGTATTGCATGTGTAATACTCGCAGTGTTTTGTGTGGTTATTGTAGCGAAAATTGACGGCACAATAGCACTGGGAGTCGACGCACCGGCGCTGATAATCGCCGCCGACTATACAGTCGCCGTATTTATCACATACAGGGAACGGGTTGGCAGTGATGGTCGGCCCCGTAGGTGATGGGGTAGTTGTTGTGGTAACTGTAGAAATAGTAATAATGATCAATATGGTGTAGCTAACTAGCATGGATGTCCACCTGGCCATCTGGCTCAATAGGGCAATTTTATTCATTATTATTTAAGGTTAATTTAACACTTGAAAATGTTTAGTCTACATGGTTAATTATTGTTTTATTATATTTAATTAAATTAAATAGTAGTATTCATTATAAACAACTCATAAAATGTGTTCATTGAATTTAATGTACATTTAATTTACTTGGAAATTAAATGTTTGTGGTAAACATTTGTAGTTCATTGTAATTAATGTGTTTATCAATGCCATAGACATGTGCATAGTATTCATAGGGCCGGAGTTGGCTCAATCAGACCATCTATTAATTTGAAGTAGTTTTAATTACAATTAAGTTTTTATAAGAAAATTGATTATGTATTTTTGTCTGTAAACGTTTAAGTACATATAATTAAATTAAATACTAATAATGAAATAAATACCATGTCATTACAGTAAAACTACCTGGTTATGCTTAATGCCCATCAGAATAACATTTGTTTAGTTTGTAAATTATAATTAATACCCTAGTTACTACAGAATACTATCAAATAACTTAATGTTATTTGTTGAACATAAGTTGTTCATTGCTTTCATTATTACATTATTCAATTAAATCTACTTTATGTAAGAGTTATATATTTGTTATATCATTAATAATATTATTATTGCATTACAACTTCTCTCTCTCTCTCTCTCTCTCTCTCTCTCTCTCTCTCTCTCTCTCTCTCTCNNNCTCTCTCTCTCTCTCTCTCTCTCTCTCTCTCTCTCTCTCTCTCTCTCTCTCGTACTATCGTTAACTCCACCTGATATACTAAAATATAATTATAAATGTATAAACTGTATTTAAAGAATTAATTATGTAGTTTAAGTGATTGGCATAATATGTAAAATTCACTTATAAATGCATTCACTTATATGCGGAGTAAAACGTAAATTAATAAAGGTATATTATTAATATTTCCAATATTTTTTGTATAATAATGATTACATGAATTCAAATTTAGCAAAATGAAATCGCTGGGGTTAACCAAATACTTAACACCATAAATGTGCATTAAATAACATTAAATTAATTAATAATTTATTACTGTTTGCTAGAAATAATACAATAAAAATATCAGCTAGATCAGACACTAGTCTCAAGTTTGCCCAACTTATCAAGAGCTATATTATCAATAAGGCGGACACTGTCCAGCCATACGGCGGCCAACCGGCGCTCCCATCGGTCGCACACGTAATCCACTTTAAAGCCGAGTGCAGTCAAGCGCTCGTAGGCGTCGTCGACGGTCAACGAGTCCCTCAACACAACCGGCAGTTTACTAGCCTTTTCACGGCTCTCGTCGGACAGCCTATTATTACGCGAACTGAGGGCCAGACCTGTATCCGACCTAATGGTTGGACAGCCAACTATAGTCCCTGGCAAGAAAAGTGCCCGGGCCATTTTCTGTATTAGTAATAGCTGTTGGTAGTCCTTTTCGCCGTAGTACGAATGGGTGGGCCGTATGACGTTCAGATGTTTTAGCACAATGGTCAACATGCCGGTAAAGTGCCCTGGCCGGTGCTCGCCCTCCAATTGGTTGCCAATATCGCCCGTCTCCGACACTTGTATCTGGTAGTCGTCCGGATACATCTCCTGGTGCTCCGGTATGAACAGGTAGTCCACCCCCTGTTGGTGTAGCAGCTGTTTGTCCAGCTCTAGTGTACGCGGATAATAGCGATAGTCGTCTGTAT